TAATATTTTTTTTCTTTTCAGATGATAAATTAAATATTTTAACTGTTAAATAAGAAATAGTTTGTTGTATGTATTTATAAAATGTTTTCATTTTTCAAAATACAGTCAAGATGTCGTGTCCATTTTAATTGTTGATATTATTGAGTGTGGCTTGTTTTTTGTTTTTATTAATAAGACTTTTATCATTTTTGCCCTCTTTTGCATGTAGATGCTATTATATTTGTGTTGTCAACAAGTATGTTACGAATGTTGGGTAGTTTTTATATAATTTATCATCCAAAAAGAAAAAAACAATATTTGATCACATGTGAAAAAATGTCCCCCAAAATAAATCAAAGCACCTTTTCTGTCGTATTCAATGGAATATATAACGGGTGTCTCTCCCGCAAAATGTTTAATATCTAAAAAAAATGTTTCATTAAATAATATAGACAAGTGTTGTCTATTTATTTCATGTAAATTCTTTTCATAACGTCTGATAAGCTTAATAACATTATCATTAAACGAAGAAAGAAAATTACAATATTTATCCATATTTTTTAATCCAATCTAAGCTTTCGGGTTACATAAGCCATTATCAAAGATGTCAATTACTGTGCAATATATTAAGCAATATACGGACAAGACAGTGATGATAGTCTGCTATTGTTTACATGGATGATTTCCAAGCAACGATTAACACGTGCATATATGACGATAGAAGAGAAAATCTCACCGCAACTCATGACGTCACATATGACCACGCGAGAGTGAATTGGAAAAGTATTAAGTATGGGAAGCCGTTGGTATAAACCAATGGCTTCTGTTACCAATTATAGACATTTAAGGATCATCGGTATTTTAGCAGTAACCTTTATTTTAAACATATTTCGTTGAATATGACAGACAAAGAAAATTTAATGAAATTTTGATTGAGTTTTTTCTACATTATTTACATTATTCGGACTATTGTCCTCATCTTTGTCGCCATATTTATCACAAAGTTGAAATCATAGACAAGGAACACCATTGGAAAATTCGTAAACTTAAGGAATCAGCACATATTCTAGGCCACAAAAATCTCCTGAGCCGACCAAGCATAGAAATAAATACAATATGGTAACCAGTAATAAGGAGTGCCAGAGAAAAGCACTAACAACAAAGTTGCAATATGAGCTCTGGTAAAAACGTGTAATGATATCAGCAAAAATTGCAATATGAGCACTGGTAAAAATGGTTGCTGAAGACATTAGGTTTATAATAATTAATTATAAATTATAATAAGGTTTATAATAGCCAGAAATTCATACACAGACGTCCTCAAGGACACATGGTACAGTAGATACAGGCGACAGGACCCAAAGAGTGTGAGTTCAATACCCGGTTAAGGCCGTGGAGAACTTTCAGAGGGAAATTAACAGGAGATAACTGATAACTGACATCCATCAGACATGGCACGTGGAACTAGAACAGTCTACCCCAATGAACGAAATGAAGGGTTCAGTTCGAAATTTCAACCACCCGAAGAAGGCCAGAGCGTACAACGGCCGAAACTTTCTGATAAATATGGCGACAAAGATAAGGACAATAGTCCGAATAATGTAAATAATGTACATAATAACTCATCTCAGAAATATAGACAGAGTTTTTTCTAGTATTTAAAATTTTTTCCGTTTGCTATCTACTCAACGGAAAAATTCAAGAATACTAAAGAAAAATCAATAAAACATTCATTAAATTTAAGGCATTGTAAAAACTGTCCGTAGTGTCTATTGTCCTAAGCGTTTTCGGCCATTTTAAAGGAGTTTTTTTGTTAACTCTTATCAATTCCTTTCAACGGTCGTCTTTTAGGGTTTATGGAAGGAGTAAGTCATCGTGATCGAGGGCTTCAGTGTACTCGCTTGGTTCAGGCTGTTGATCACACCAGATAATAAGCTTACTCTTAGAAAATATAACTAAGATGTCTTTTCCTTGAGTGGCAGAAAAATCTTACACTATTTAAAAGTCTTTTAAGAGATATTTTAGAAATTGTCACCAGAGGTAAAGCATTCGCAGAAAAGTATTTTAATCTTTGCTTAATTGAACCAGGAATAAACGTTCCTTAATTTATCTATAAATACGAGAAATACATTTTTACAGTCTGTGTCTTTCGTTATCGAAATATCAGAGTTGTGTTTCAATACAATTAAATTCTATTCAGCAGATAATAAGTTGTGCAATTTTTCAGCTGGTTGAGGCTTGAAATTCACAGTAACGTTTCCCCATCCCAAAGTATGGCTGTACAAAACGATAAAAAAATATAAATATCCCGGGAGATGTTTTGTTTGTACTTACAAACGAACTGTCCCCAGACGTTATCTTTGTTATAATTACTACAACGTCTCGACCTTTGGTATCTCCGAACTTTGTTGATCCGAGTAACTTTCAGGGAATTGTGAACTGGACCGTTTATTTAAGATACGGGGGTAAATTGTTCTCGTTTTGTTCTCCATATCTAGAGATATTTTGTCTTGTTCTTATTTAGAAATATCCGGTTATTACTCACTTTGTTTTCCATACTTGGCTCAGGGATTGGATTCACAGTTACTATGTCACAAAACGGACCAACACTGTTTTCCACGAGTCAATAATATAATCGATATAAATAAAGCGCAGTGTACGTGTGTCCGTCCGTCTGTCCGTTTTTCGATCTCGGCGAATCATAAACAACCTAAAGTAGTAATTAGTAACTACTTTAGTTACATGTGATTTAAAAATTAAATAAATAACTCATTTAAAGTTAAATTTAAATATCAATCAGAGTGAAAGGTTTTAAAAAACAATTCTTTATTGAAGGTTTAGATTTAATCTCACTTTTCGTCACAAATGCAATTGATATCATCTAATTAAATTGTAATTAAAACTTAAGCGGGGGTACGTACGTTGCTCATATTTTTTTCTTTTTCTAGCACGCATACTGCGACGTATTGAAAATATTACATAGTTCGTGTTCCCTAATGTCTTTTAAAAGTGTCTTTATGTGAAGGGATCATAAAGGAGGGTGACTTTAAAGAAAATAATTACTGCGAGCCAAAAAAATGTAAACAAACTACATTAAGATCGGTTGCATATACGAAGAAAGATTATGCCGAATTAAGTTGTCGAATAAAGATAAAATAATATTATTATTCCTAAATTCTCATAACTTTTACGTATATAGGACGCTGAAGGTAAAAGGCCGACGGTCCAAAATCCCCCTGCAGGAGCTAGCCAAAATCTACCCTAGGCTAATTTAACAAATGAAATTAAATTTTACAAGGGAAATATTTTACTTTTTCCTTTTAGACTTGGGCAACTTATAGGAAGACGTCGATCCCAACGGAAATTTATAAACAAAATTTAAGCTAATTTTATTTCTAAAAGCTCGAAAATTTATTCAAAAAGATTTCACAAAAAAGAAATTAGAGACAAAAAATAACGGTAATTATTTTTTTCAAGGAGACCGTAAAATGTTTATTGATGCAATAAACTCAGAAAGTTTTATTAAATTTCAATAATTAGACTTTCAGTTTTCATTGTTAAATTATTTAACAATTGAATTTTTTTTTCCACGGTTACCTTCAATAAGTCCTAAGCCTAACGAGAAAGGAATCATTTATATCAAACAAGTTTATTTTATAACTTTGAGAAGAGCCATTAGCATTTGGAACATTATTCGGGAGTTCAAATCTTCGTTGGATAATTGCTGTTTTTAACACTATGAGAAGGCTCACGAAATAAACAACATTGTTTCGCTACTCAAATCTTTTTTTTTTTTTACATACTTGCTGCTAAGAATATCATTTTGAGAAGAGTCAAAAACATCTCAAGTATTATTCAAACGCTCAGATCTATTCTTTGTGTAAGTATCATTATTAACATTATTCGGATCAACAAATATAATTATCAATATTATTCGGAGGATCAAATATAATTATCCACATAATCCGGAGGATCAAATTAACATTATTAACATTATTTGGATGATCAAATATAATTCTCAAAATTATTCGGAGGATCAAATATAATTATCAACATATTCCGGAGGATCAAATTAACATTATTAACATTATTTGGATGATCAAATATAATTCTCAAAATTATTCGGAGGATCAAATATAATTATCAACATTATTTGGAAGATCAGATATAATTATCAACATCATTTGGAAGATCAAATATAATTATCAACATCATTTGGAAGATCAAATATATTTATCAACATTATTTGGAGGATCAAATATAATTATCAACATTATCCGGAGGATCAAATATAATTATCAACACTATTTGGAAGATCAAATATAATTATCAACATTATTTGGAAGATCAAATAAAATTAACAACATTATTTGGAAGATCAAATATATTTATCAACATTATTTGGAGGATCAAATATATTTATCAACATTATTTGGAGGATCAAATATAATTATCAACATTATCCGGAGGATCAAATATAATTATCAACACTATTTGGAAGATCAAATATAATTATCAACATTATTTGGAAGATCAAATAAAATTAACAACATTATTTGGAAGATCAAATATATTTATCAACATTATTTGGAGGATCAAATATAATTATCAACATTATTTGGAAGATAAAATTTAATTATAAACATTATTTGGAGGATCAAATATAATTATCAACATCATTTGGAGGATCAAATATAATTATCAACATCATTTGGGAGATCAAATATAATTATCAGCATTATTTGGAAGAACAAATATAATTATCAACATTATTTGGAGGATCAAATATAATTATCAACATTATTTGTAAGATCAAATATAATTATCAACATTATTTGTAAGATCAAATATAATTATCAATATTATTTGGAGGATCTAATGTAATTATCAACATTATTTGGAAGATTAAATATAATTATCAACATTATTTGGAAGATCAAATATAATTATCAACATTATTTGGAAGATCAAAACTCTTCTCGTGAAATCAAGAGATTTTTAGAATCCCAACCTTGTTAAATTTAAGCTAATTTCTCCAAAGTAACGACAATAAAAAAAGAATAAGAACTAAGTATAGAGTGGGGAGAGAGAAAGAGAGAAAGAACGAAAGATAGTGACAGAGAAAGATGGAAAGAGGGTGAGACACAGAGAGAGAGAGAGAGAGAGAGAGAGAGAGAGAGAGCAAGAGAGAAATAGCTAAAGTGAGAGACATAGGGAGAGAGATTGAAAGAGAGAATGAGCGAGAATGAGCGAGAGAGAAAGTGAGAACGGGCGAGGGGGTCAGAGAGCGGGAGGATTAGTGAGATAGCGAGAGAGCTCGGGAGAAAGCTAGAGAAAGAACGAAAGTAAGAGTGAGCGAGATAGAGAGAGCTAATGAAAGAGAGAGAACGAGCAAGAGAGAGCAATAGTGTTTGGGAGAGAGAATGAAAAAGATAGGGAGAAAGATCGAGCATGTGAGAAGAAGAGAGAGAGCAAGACAGAGAGAGAGAGAGAGAGAGAGAGCGGAAGAGAGAGAGAGCGGAAGAGAGAGAGAGCGGAAATGAGAGAGAGAGAGAGAGAGAGAGAGGGCGGAAGAGAGAGAAAGCAAAAGAGAGAGATAGAGTGACAGAGAGCGAAAGTGAGATTTTTTCACACTGACCCAGTCTATTCTAATCATTCATTTTTTTCCCATTTGACCAAGATAGAAAGAGAATCAATAGACACTGAGCCATCCTGTATCCAGCGTCCTGGGTAAGACGATAAACTACATCCAGCAGCATGGCCTCTGATCAGGAGGTTTTGAGGAGCGTAGAACCATCTTTTAATTGCTGGTATTCCCAGGTCCACCCTAACCCGGGGTGGTAGCACCTGTTAGGGTTCCAATTATTGACAAATAGTTAACCCTGAAACTCGGGCAATGTAAATAATGTAAGTAATCATAAAACCTCATCTCAGAGATATAGAGGCCCAAACGTTGTGAATATAGCAATGATGATGAGGATAACAGTCCAAATAATGTAAATAATGCAATTAATCATAATACCTCATCTCAGAGATATAGAGGCCGAAACGTTGTGAATATTTCAATGATGATGAGGATAACAGTCCAAATAATGTAAATAATGCAATTAATCATAATACCTCATCTCAGAGATATAGAGGCCGAAACGTTGTGAATATTTCAATGATGATGAGAATAACAGTCCAAATAATATAAATAATGCAATTAATCATAAGACCTCATCTCAGCGATATAGAGGCCGAAACGTTGTAAATATTGCAATGATGATGAGGAAAACACTCCAAATAATGTAAATAATCACATCTGCTGTTTGTAACTATTTTGAATAACATGATGCTCATTGTTCGCTGAACCGTCAGATGCCAGTTTACCTGGAATTAATCTTCGTAGTCATTAATAAAAAGAGATGAAGTCAATTCATGCAGGATTTCACAGCTCTCTTATCACTTCTTCATACTCAGCCTATGAACTTTTTATCCCACCCTCGTATGTCCTGTCAACTTTAGTTTATTTTTAATAAAGGAAACTCTGCATGAGCAGATATCTACAAAAGGGATTAAGCTAACGACCCTATCAGGGAGGTGTAATTTGAAACGATCTGCTAGCACTAACAATACTTGCACGTTAAACCCAAACTCATTTTTTAATCACATAGATCGAACATTATACCATGATACTTTCAGATCCTAATTCAATTTGCGACTGATTTACTGATTAACCCTTGTATAAACTGGACGGAAGAAATTTTATAGCATATTTTCCTCTAATTATTTTTTGTTTCTAACGGATAAAATTATATAACTCCGTATTTTAAAAAATGATAACATTTATGAAAATTAAATTATAGTGTCTTTTGGTAAACAAAAGACACTATTCAAAATAAAGAGAAAAACTCATTCGTATTGATTTTAAATTATAGTTTCACTGCACTAAAGCTGATACATTGTCGACATTGCATTAATCATTATGGCGGCTTTTATATCTGAGAAATTTAAAACTCTGTCATTAAAAAATCTACCAAAACAAAATTAATCGTTAGACTCGGATAATTCGATGAAAAATTTACTTTATGCTTGAAAAAATATCAGCGATAACTCCATTTATTATCATAAAAAATGCTTCAGCTCTCGTTATGGTTCAAACATCAAAGTGGATGACGCGTGACAATGAGTTGGCTGATAACAAGTTGAGCGATTTATACTTTGAAAACAGAAACGGTCGCCTGCTTTCGTCCCGTGACATTGTATGGAGACCGAAAAGGGATATAATTTCTTTTTAACTTTCTTTCTCTCGCATTAGGATTTGTTTATGAGTCTTTGTTACTTGTTAATTGTACAACTTTGAATTCTGTGATAGATGCGGTCTTTGAATGTTTCAATTTGAGATGAACGTTTTTGAGTCCATGTCACACAGTGCAAATCGTATAAAACAACTGGAAAGATGTGGATCAGTCAGGTTTCGTTTTAGTGTGGATTGATACTCACATCGATTTCAGGATAACCGTTTTTTTTTTCAAATAGTAGCTCCCCCAAGTGTTATTCGGTGTTTTACTGCAAATTCTTACTAGATAATTTGGGACCAAAATATATAAAATCAATCACTGTCTATATTTCTGAGATGAGGTATTATGTACACTATTTACATTGTTCGGATTATTGTCCTTATCTTTGTTGTCATATTTATCACAACGTTTCGGCCGTTATACGCTCTGGCCTTCTTCAGGTGGTTGGAATATCGAACTGAACCCTTTATTTTGCTTGCTGGCGTAGACTGTTCTAGTTCCACGTGCCATGTCTAATGGATGTCAGTTGTCAGTTATCTCCTGTTAATTCCCCTCTCAAAGTTCTCCAACGCCTTAAAAAGTTATTGATCTCATTGGATCTAACTAACGCCTTTATCCACTGTACCATGTGTCCTTGAGAAAACATGGCACAGTGGATAAAGGCCGACGGACATTTAACCGAAAACTAGAAATAAAAATAGTACCAAGCAATATTTTAAGTATTTTTAATTAGTATTATTATAAGGTAGACTAGGACTAATAATTACCATTGAATTTTAAGTGATTAAATGACTAAATCTAAATTTAAAGTTAAAAGTTTTCTTATTTTAATATTTGTTTATTGAAATTAGTATTTTAAAAAATATTTGAGTGTATTTGAGTAAAAAGAAGCACCTCATTATTTAAATTCGTATTTAACGGTAAGATAAAAGCTAGTTCATCCCTTTAAGACAATGATCATTAAAAGCGAAATTGAAAGATCTTTCATATCGTAAAAGCTTAAGATTTTTGCTGTAGTAAAAATGTGCTTTTCTCAAAATACTTATCATCTTACAGTAATATTTGAAGTAAAATATAATATATACAGAATAGATTTTAAAAAAGCCTGTCAAAAAAAAAAAAACAAAAAAAAAAACGGAAAATTATAAATTAATACTGTAAATAAATATAAATATATGTAACACATTACGATAAAGAGTGTGACAGACACATGTAAGTACGCCACTACATTTTCGGCTAAATATCCATTTGGTTAAATGTCCGTCGGCCATTGCTGGTTGAAACGATGACTAATGTCATGTAATTCTCCAGAACAACATGAATTTGATTTTTTTGTGTGTGTGTTGGGGGGGGGCATGAAGGACTTTGTTCGATGTATTTTTAATATAAATCTTTTTGGGATTTTTCTTCAAAGAAATACGCAGAGGAATAGGGAGGATGGAAAAAGCAAAACAAACAATTTCCGGATAATCATAACATATTTGTCTACCATCGAAAAATTCTAAATCTATTTTTGATGGTAATTACATGTGCGGCTAATTTAATGATTATCAGCGCGAAAAGTGGAATTAATAGCCTGAATTCAATTTATATTCACTTCTGCATTCATGTCCATGGAAAAGACAGGATTCCACTTCTTCTCTACGCCGCAGCCTTTCTAGCCCTGGGTGGTAACCAGTCTAGGAGAAGGACTTTCTTTAAACTTAAAAACCGCAGATAAGGAAACAGAAAAATTTGTATATTTCCTAAGAAGTTATGACAATTCACAGCTAATAAAAAATGGAACCTGTGGAGAACCATAAACAACTAAATACTGAAGTAACATGATATTGCAAATATAAGTTACACAAAAAGGTGAAAATACTTTCATAAAATTTATTATATAATTTTGTTATCCATAACTTTTTAATATTAAATGAAAGTGGTCAAATAATTTCCAGTCCTGTGTTTGACGATGAACTACATCCGCCTCCTCGGTAAGACGATAAACTACGTCCGACAGCAAGGCGTCTGATTAGGAGGTTTTGAGAAGCGTGGAACCACCTCTTAATTGCTGATGTTCCCAGGTCCACCCTGAATCAGGGTGGTAGCACCTGTTCGGGTCCAAGCTATGGGCAAATAGTTAATCCCTAAACGGGAGTCAAAACACTATGAAAGTGTAAAAATAGGTTTTAGTACCAGAAATACTTTGTAAAAAAATATTTCCAGCAATAAATTTTCGAAGAAAAATTATTACCGGCAATACATATTTGAAAAAAAAAAAAAATTACCCGCAATACATTTTTGAAAAAAGAAAAAATACCAGGAGTACATTAAAACAAATTACCCGCTATACATTTTGTCGGTATACAGTTAGTCAGTTATGTGCCATGCATGATACACGCTTAGGCGATCATGTATCTTTCGATACATGACTGAAGAGGCAGTTTTTTTCCCGCAGTAGGTTGCCATTTCTTTCTGTGGTAGACCAGTTGCCATCCAAGGCTACAGAACCCGGCCTGTCTTGCTATTTACTGATAGCTGTGGAGGGTTAGAAGAGGATTCATACCTTTCCCAAGAAAGTGAATGTAAAGGATTCGACTGGAATTCGAACTCGGCTCTCCGATTTCTCAATCCGAGCCGCTAAACCCATTTAGATTGATATGCCGTAAAACAGAACAAAACAGACAAACCAAATAATCTCGATTTGTTTTCATTTTTGTGGCAATCAAAGAAAAAGATTTAAATGTTTATTTGAAGCTTAAAAACCTGAGAGGGAGATATTTAGACTGCAAAAGATGTTTTTAATTTCCTAAAGAAATACAGAATTAACAATATTGGTGCTTCTGGGCTTCCTTACCTGTTAAGTAGCTTATCTTTCTTTCTTTTTTAATAGCTCCCATATGGCATTTATTTCTATGCTAGGCCTGTTGTGGAGAGCGTTATATATTTTGATTCTTTCAAACATATGATTCTCCCATCTTTAATCAGCAAAAAGAAAAAATAATGGAGATATCCTCTCATTAAATTTCCTTATTGAACGCAGTTCGTTGTTAAAAAAAAAGTAGCAATGGAGAATGATTAATCAGAGAATAAATCAATTCTCAAATAAAATCGAATGAATTAAAATCTTTTCTTTCTTTTATGTGCCGTGTCCCTTCTGGACGTAGGCGATCATGGCTCTCCACTTCTCCCTATCCCTTGTAGCACTCAATAAATTTTGTCCCTTTGATGCTTCCCCCAGACCATGTTCTGTCATCGTCTTGCTTAAGCCCACTGGGTATGTCATGTGTTGTTTTCCCTTGTCTTTCTCGTCCGCTATTCGACCTGTGAGTATCAGATTCTCCAAGCCCTCTTTTCTCATTACGTGTCCCAGAAATTTCAGCTGCCTCTTCCTTATGGTAAGTATAAGATTCCTCCTTGTTTGTATCCTCTCCAAAACCTCATCGTTGCTCACATGTTCGGTCCATGATATCCTTAGCATCCTTCTGTAGAACTATACCTCCGTTCCCTCGAGACTCTTCTTCATCTTTAAGGAGACCGTCCAACATTCGCTGCCGTAAAGGAGGATAGATGTCACGTAGCAGTTCAGTACTTTTTTCTTTGTTACCAAATAAATCCTCCTGTCTTGTAATACTCTGCCTAGCGTTTGGAATGCATCTTTGACCATCCCAATCCGTCTTCGGATCTTAGCGTCGCACTTACCGTCCTCTGTCAAAACACTTCCCAAATATTTAAATTTCCGCATCTGCTTTATTGTCGCTGACCTGTAAATCGCATATCGGGCTCCTCCTTTTACTGATGACCTTGCATTATGTCTTCTTGTAGTTTATACTTAGTCCCTTTTTCTCACTCTTATTTGCTAGCTTCTGTAGGGGGTTTTGTAATTTCTTTTCCGTGTCTGTTATCAGTACTGTGTCATCTGCTTATCTTATGTCGGTAAGGATGAATCCCGGCCCAACTAAAAGGAACGTTCTTGCAAAGATGCAGACGTGTTGTACTTTGGTTGGAGGATGTGCGACATTTTAACATGGCAATCGACTATATTCCTGATCCAAACTGACCTCTCATCACCAACGTTGTCATCATTTTATGGTAACATTGCGAAGTGCTGTAGCTGAAAAATCCTAACTGTTCAACAATAATATAAGAATACTTTTTCTTCATCTAACAATCTGTATAGAACGTGTTGTAAGCTATAATTAGCTAGAAGTATTCACTGCCATTTCTCTAGTACTTTAGTCAATAATGTCAGGCCTAATTTAGCCATCAGCTGTATCAACTGCTATTTATATGACGGGGATTTGCATATTAAATTTGCTACCTGTATAGGGTCTTGATTATTTTAATATTTTTTCCCAAATATATCAAGGTTGATATCAATTGTCGAAAGAAAAAATGAAGAGCCTAACAATCTGAAAAACGAATTACAAAGGAACTTTCCAGCCTCTTTCCCTCACAGACGCAACATTGCAAAACCCTGTTTACATTATTCGGACTATTGTGCTCATCTTTGTCGCCATATTTATTACAACGTTCCGGCCTTCTTCAGGTGGTTGGAATGTCGAACTGAACCTTTTATTTCGCTCATTGGGTTAGACTGCCCTAGTTATCAGTTATCTCCTGTTAATTCCCCTCTCCAATTTCTCCACTATCTTACCCGGGTATTAGTGTGAGTTTGGGTCCTGTCACTGGATCTAACCAACGCCTTTATCCACTGTGCTGATAACTGACATCCATTAAAAACATGGCACGTGGAACTAGAACCACAGTCTTCGTTTCAGTCTCTCCACTTGACCGTTTCTCCGTGGGTTCTATGCACTAGATCTACTAGTAACTATTTCCTTCTCGTGAAAAAATCTCCCTAACTTCTCCGACATAAAACTAAGTCTTCTATAATAGTGTATATATATAATGTGGCATATCAAATATGCAAAAGAATTTAATTATACAAGTCAATACAGTTGTAGTGAGCATGTCC